AACACTTCATGATTAAGAAAAACCATCTCAATCTAAATGTTCATCATGGCCAGCCATGGAGGCACACACCTGTAATTATCTGTTAGACTGGCAAAAATTAAAAGATCATATATATAATAGGTAGTAATAAAAATCGGAATGAAGAACATTTTAGTATTTCATACACTATAAAAGAATATAAATCAAGAAAGTTGTTTTATTTATTTATTTATTGAACCCAGGGTCTCACTATGTAGCACAGGCTGGCTTTGTACTTGCTTATGTAGCCCAGGCTGGCCTTAAACTCACAGCAATTCTCCTGCCTCAGCCTCCTAAGTGTTGGGATTACACATGTGCACCACTACACCTGGCACGAAAGTTGTTTTAGAAGGTGAAATGTCTATCAGAATTTTAACTACACATGGTTTGTTGTGGTGGTGAAGGTGATGGTTGCTGCTATACCACATAGCAAGGCTCAAATTTGTGATTCTCCTACCTCAACCTTTTAAGTGCTGGAATTATAAATGTATGCCACCACACTCAGCTCTATACATAGCCTTTGATTCAGTATATTCCATAAATATTTATACTTCTGCATTATTCAGGAAAGACTCTAGCATTAATACCGAAAATCTAAAACAAACATCAGTAGATGAGTAATTACATATATGATAAAGGCACAAAGTGAATACATACAATTCTTGCATCACACTGTAGTGCAGAACCATAAATATGTGCAAGCCAGGCACAGTGGCTCATGCCTACAATTTCAGTCCTCTGGGAGACTAAGGCAGCAGGATCACAAAATTAAGCCCAATATGGGCAATTTAGTGATAGTCTGTCTCCAAATAAAAAAATAAAAAGAGCTAGCGATGTAGCTCAGTGCTAAGACCCTAGGTTCAATCTCTTCCACTGCAAAAAATATTTATTTATTTTTTAAATGTTTTAAAAGAAATAATAAAATTTTTAAGAAGGCTAGGGATGTAGCTCAGTGCAGTTCATTGGTTCAACCCTAGTACTACAAAACAAAACAAAATGAAACAACCTTACAATCTCTAACTTTATTAGAATGATCATAATGATTAACATAAAAAAAAAAAAAACTGGTCTGTGAGCTCTAAGAGTTTGGTCATACGAAAAACTCTCTTAATGGGGCTGGTAATATAGATCAGCAGAACAGTGCCTTCCTGGCAAGTGCAAGGTCCTGAGTTCAATTCTTGGTACCAAAATACCGCAGTTCTGTTACTATCAGTTCTAGATGAACAGAGAAATTGAAAAATTAATTTACAAAAAAAAATTTTTTTTTTTGTTACCAGGATCAAACTCATAACCTCACACTTGCCAGGCTGGCACTTACACCCCTGAGCTAAATCCCCAGCCCTTAAATGTTATTTTTAAAAATGAAAAAGAGTGGTTCTTTTAAAACTTTCTTGCTGGGTATGGTGGTGCACACCCGTAATCCCAGCACTTGGGAGGCTGAAGCAGAAGGACTACCATGAGTTTGAAGGCAATGTGGGCTGCATAAGTGAGTTCAAGATAGTACACATTATATAGTAAGACCCTGTTTCAAATAAACAAACCACAACAAAAAATAGCTTTAAAAAAAACTTTTAAAAAGTACTTTTAAAAAAAAAAACCTCAAAAGCAATTTGAACAATGCTTATTTTCTCTTCAGGTAGCTTAAAATATGAAGAGTGTGTCTTTTCTCTGCCTTAGTGAGCTAGCATACTCTTTAAGGTGAGATGGGCTTCTGACACCTCCTGCTTTAGATCTTTTTCTTGTTTTTTATTTTTGGTACAAAGGATTGAACTCATGACTAAGCCGCTCCTGCTTTAGACGTGGAATATCCTCAAGAGGTCTCTAAACACAAAGGACTTTGCAGTACCGCTACCTCTGAGCCAACTTCATTCTTCTTTTTTTTTTTTTTTTTTTTTTTTTTTTTTTTTTGTCTTTTTCATTTTTATCGGTACCGGGGATCGAACTCGCGACTGCCTGCTTGAAGGCAGGCGCTTATGCCGCTGAGCTAAATCCCCAGCCCCTCCAACTTCATTCTTCTTGTCGCAGCCACTTTGCTCATTTATGACAATCAGGTCACCTGTACTACACTCCTCTGGCTGCACACCTACCCACAACCGAATGGTAACCATGACAGCACTCCCACGGCCCACAGAGTTAGCACTTCTGGGACTACATTAACATTACATTTGAATTTTACTTCCAGTTTTCAGCAAGCATTTTTCATTTCTTTGCTGCACTTTCAGCTTTGCTGACTAATTCTCTCTTTCTTTCCCTTTAAGCATTCATTTCTTTGCTTATTTGTTTTACGACAGGGTCTCTTACCTGAAACCCCTTGGCCCAAGTGATCTTCCAGCTTCAGCCTCCCAAATAGTCAGGACTATAGGTTATGTACCACCATGTCTTGCTCAATCATCTAATACTCAAAAAATGTCAGCTGGATTTACAGCTGGAAAAGGAGGCATCATATAATTTTTTTTGTGGTGGTAGGGGTCTATGTGTGGTACTGGGGATCAAGCTTAGGACCATCACACTGAGTTACATCCTCAGTCTATTTATATGTATGTGTATTTTTTTTAGTCAGGATCTTGCTACACCAAGCTGGGGTTGAATTTGAATTGCTCCTGCCTCAGCTTCCCAGACTGCTGGGATTGTATGCCTCTGTCACCATTCCTGGCTCATCATTGTTGAATAACCGAGTAACAGATCTGCAGTAATCAGTCATTGATAGGCATTGATTGGTCCCTGATGACTATTAACACTTGATATTTACATTGTGATGTGTAGAATGAATAGCTAGCAAGTTTACATTTTATGCAATTATTTAATATGTTTCTATAACTAGAATTTGAAGCAGGTTGCTGAAGGTATAGCATTGTTTTACTAAACTATAGTAAATGGAATTTGTATATGAGGACTACACAAAGTGAGAACAATGACAGTGTGGTGGTACATGCCTGTAATCCCAGCATTCTGAGATTATAGAGAATCACAAATTGAAGCCCAACCTGGGCAATTTAACCCTTTAACAAGATCCTGCCTTAAAATAAAAAATACAAAAGGCTGACGATGTAGCTCAGTGTGGAGGTCACACCACGAAAACAAAACAAAGTGAGATTTGCCAAGACCATAAAGCTATTGAAGAAAACAAAGGCCTATATAAATGACATGAGGATACAGCTCAGTGGCACAGTGCCTGCCTGGCAAACACAAGGTCCTGAATTTGATTTCAATACAAAAAAAAAAAAAAATTGCAACTTCGACCTTAATCCCAGCACTTAGGAGGTTGAGGCAGGAGGATCATTGTGAGTTTGAGACCTGCCTGTACTACAAAGTGAGCTCAAGGGTGGCCAAGGATTTAGCTCAGTGCTATAAGCACCTACCTGGCAGGCATGAGGTTGTGAGTTTGATTACTGGTACCCTTCTACCAAAAAAAGGTAAGCTCAAGGCCAGCTTGAACTTCATAGTGAGATCCTGTCTCAAAAAGATGAAAAAAAAAAAGTAATTTAGAATCATAAAATATGATTCCAGCTAAGCGTGGCAGCACATATCTATAATCCCAACATTTGAGAGGCTGAGGCAGAAGGACTGCTGTGATTTCAAGGACAGTTAGGGCCACGCAATAAGTTTAAGACCAGCCTGGACTACACAGTGAGACTCTGTCTCAAAAAAGTAAAAAAAAAATTATTAAAATAAGGAATACTTTTTATAGGTATACATATGTAGGTTTGTTTATTCAACCAATAAAATATATATAATGCCATTGTTCCACGCTCTTGTGTATAGCAGTGAAAATACATAATGCCCCTATTTTTTTACAGCTTAAATTCTTGTCAGGGGACAGATTACAACATAAGCAAATGAAGAACTTATTTGTACGGGCTGGGATATAGCTCAGCAGCATAAGTGCCTGCCTAGTAAGTGCAAGGTCCTGAGTTTGATTCTGGGTACAAAACAAAAAACAAAAACCCCAAAAACTAAAACAAAAAATTTATTTGCAGATAGTTGAGTCCTTTTTTTGTTTTGGTACCAGGATAAAGTGACAGCCAGATGCTCTTTCAGATATAGTAGTCAGGAAAGGTCTCTAAGGAAATGACATCTAGTATGAGAGCTCAACCAGAAACTAGCCGTGATATACAACAAACCACCATAAATCATTTCTGAACAGGGAAGAAAATATGTAGTAAACTGCCATACCACACAGGCAAGTCAGACTCTGTGCATATAGTATGTTGGAAAACGAGTTCCTGTGAGTGTGGCTGCCTTAGAAAAGGGCACGCAGAAAAGGGACACAAACTGAGTTAAAGTCCAGGAGCAAAATAACAGACTTGGCAATTTCCAAGAAAAAATCAGGCAGCAATGCTGTAGTATTCATGATAAATGGGGTGTCTCATGTTTTACACTTTTTGCAGTTACTGGAGTTCCTGGAAGAATAGACGGTCAACTCAACTGCTCAGTGGAGATTCTGGAAGATAGGATATCTGTTTTTATTTGAAGTAACTGCTAGATCTGTGTGACACAAAAGTATCTGTTTAGTGTGGATTCAACAAAATTCATGCTTTTCCTTTCATTGCATAGAGTTGCTCCTAAAAACAGCTGCCTAACCAAAGGCTACATTTCCCAGTTCCTTTACATGTGGGCCAAATGACTGGTCAATGAAATGTAAATGCAAAGGACAGGTATCACTTTGGCACTAAAGAAGATAAGAGAGTATACCCTTTCTCTGTCTTGGAGGCACTGGCTGACAAGCCCATATAATGAAAAGAGACTGAGGCCCTGGGCTACCACGTGGAACAAAGTCACCTGCTAACTGAAAATACTCACACCAGACTATTAAGTGATTTAGAAATCAACTGTTATGATTGTTACTAGAACTACAGTAACTAGCATTATTCTAATACTGTGCATAGAAGCAAGTCTAATGATGGTAGAAACCAAAGCATCTTAGTATGAAGGTTGTCAAAAACAAAAAAAGACTGACAAATACATAGCATTGAATCACATACCTCATATTCTGGTCCAAAGCCAACATAACCACAGAACCGTCCAGAAAGTCTCCAGAGATAAGGGATTCCTCCAAAGAGAAGAATAAACTATAAAAAAAAAAAGCATACTTTGGTCACAGTTAAACGGTACTAGAAGAATACAAACCACTGAGATATTAAATTTAGTCTATCAAGACATTTTTACCCATACATTATATATGGATGAATTGTATAGTATGTGATTTATATCTTAATAAAAGCTGTTTTAAAAAAAGAAAAACAAGGATCTTACTTATGGAAGGTAAATAAAATAATCTTACAGAAAAAGAGAGTAGAATAGAGTAGCAGTTACTAGAGACTGAGAGAAGTGGGGGAAGAAATTAAGAGGGATAGGTTAAATAATAGCTATCTAAATAGAATCAGGAGGAAATCAGCTGTGTCCTACGGCAAAGTAGGGTAAATACAGTGTACAGCAATTTAGGATACAGTTAAAACTAACTATGAAAAATCCAAAAGTTCCTAACATATAAATGATAAATGTTAGCTGAGAAGCTAAAAAGAGTATAATGGTGCAAACCTGTAATACCAGCTATTTGGGACACTAAGGCAAGAGGTTTGCAAGTTTGAGGCCAGCTTGGGTGACTTAGCAAGACTGTCTCAAAATGGAAAACAAAGCGGGGGGTGGGGGTTGTAGTGCAGTGCTTAGCAGTACTTTTGCATATGTGTAAGTGGTTGAGTCTCCCTTGAGGTGAGGCTCCCAGATGCCCTGGCATCCCAGGTGATAATAAAGAGATCAAGTGCCACTAAACAAAACAGGAAGATGGCAGCAAACCCTTCGGGACAAGGTTTTCAAAACAAAAATAGAGTTGTAATCTTGGTAGAACTAGACAAAGAAAAGAAAATTACTTATGCAGAACCAGTCTCCAAAAAATCATGCTGGAGTTAGCACTGCACGCTCCAGACTTTCTCTGAACAAGGACTTCATGCTGAGCAGCAGCATATTGCAGCCCAATAAAAGACAGCTTTGCAGCACACTCGTGCACATTTATATGGATCTTCATAACTCAAGACTACCTTTGGGAATCTTACTCTTCCTGTGTTACCTTGCCTTGACTCAGAATGAAGAAAACATCTGTGATGGAATTGACTTCATAATTTTAAATGCCAAAGCTACTCCTATTCACTGTTGTACAGAACTCTGACTTACAGAATTCTGGTGAATTAGCATATTTTTGCTTCTTTCAGAAAAAGGAATATGTAAGTGAAACCAAAAGGGAACCAGGATGATAATGAAAGCTTTGGAAGCTGTATCATTTTGAGGAATTAGTTACGATGTCCATGATTATAACTTATTTTAATATCATTTGGTTTTTTTTGCCATTTGATTTTTAACTCTAAACTGAATAATCACATAAAATGAGTCTCCAGACCCCACAAGTTGTACTGAGTAGTCTACATCCACAACAGACTTTCAAGAAATATTTATGGTACTTAAATTCATTTGGTTTTTGTTTTTTTCTGCGTTTTTGAGACAGTTTCACTAAGTAGTTCAGGCTGGCCTTGACCTCTGCTAAGTTGCACAGGCTGGCCTGGACCTTGCGGCAATCCTTTTGCCTCACTCAGCCTCCCCATTGCTGGGATTACAGGCATGCACCACCATACCTGGCTAACGTTTTTTAAAATGTTAACTAATAGGCTTAAGTAACAAATTCATATTTACAATTTATAGAATTAATATGATACTATCTTTTGAGATTAGAGTCAATATATCATCCAGAAATATTCTTTGTGAATTCCTAGTTACCATTTTCAGTTTTAAAAGAAAACCCAAGATAAGATTAAGTTACTAACCAGTTTTAATGTCTTTTATAAACAAATATCATTATAAATGATTAAACTAAATGCTATTAAAAACAATGATAAAAAATTTTGAAAAAGCTAGAATTCCAGCCCTCAGGAGATGAGGCAGGATAGTTTGGACTATATAATGAGTTCAATGTTAGTCTTAACTGTACAGAGACTCTGTCTCAAAAAACGAATAAAACTAAGCAAAAACTCAAATCAAAATGCTAAGAGCTAGCGATAGCTCAGTGGTTGGATGCCCCTAGGCTCAGTCCCCCATACTGTATTAAAAAACAGAAACTAAACACAACTCAATACTTGTTTTGTCTTTTTTTTTTTTTTTTTTTTTAACTTTTTATCGGTACCGGGGATTGACCCCCTGCTTGCAAGGCAGGTGCTTATGCTGCTGAACTAAATCTGCAGCCCCACTCCTCAATATCTGAAGAGATGGAAATTCTAATTATTCTAACTTGGACATCAGACATTGCATTTATATACAGCCATCATGCTAAAGCTCCATAAATATTTATATTGTATGTTATTTAAAATTTTTAAAAATAGGAGGAATAGGAAGAGGTTGGTTAGCAACTACAAAGTTGAAGTTAGAAAGAATTAAGTTCTGACATTCTTTTGGAGAATGATTAGAATTAATAATAATGCATATTTCAAAATAGCTAGAATAGAGATTTCTGAATGTCCTTAGCACAGAAAAAAATAAATGTTTATAGTGAGACATGCTAATTATATCATTATATAATATACATACATAAAACATCATGTTATACCCCAGAAATTTGTCTAGCATTAAGTGTCAATGATAAATAAAATGTTTAAAGTAAATAAATGAAAACTTTTAAGATTTAACTTTTAAAGTAAATAAATGAAAACCACAATAAAAGCTTTATGAATCAGGAACTAGGTTTAAACAATGTGGCCAAAATCCCACAGCTAATACATGAAAGAGATAGAATTCTAACTAGACTATGCGGCACTCTTTTCCGTGAAAGTAAATGGTCCTTTTCAGTCAGGATAAAGTATTAGGTTCTTTTGTTCTTGTTTTTGTGTGTTTGCTTTTCTTTCTTCTTTCTTTTTTAGGGCAGGGATTCACTATGTTGCCCAGGGTGACCTCAAATCCATGGGCTCTAATGATCTTTCCATCTCAGCCTCCCAATTGCTGACACTAATCAGGCATGCACCACATGCCTAGCTGAAGTATCATTTTTGATACAGAAGTGGAGTCAGGTCCACTCACCAAATTGTAGGGCAGAATGAAATATCTGCATCTTCTCCAGTTAGACAAAGGTGAATCCTGAGGTAGGAGTCAGGGTTTCCTATGAGCAGGCCCTTTCCTTAGTACCACCTTTTATCTCGGGCAGGTAAAGTGAACACATTCACCAAATCACTAGAACATGAGAAACCCAGAAGGAACTCAAAATATGGAAAGAAGGAACACTTAAAAAGCTCTATTTCTAGAAGCCCTCCCTGCAAACCCAGTGCCATGGGGAAGACAGCCAGACCCCAACCTCTGCCCTTGAGTCAGTGCCATTCGCAGACTGTAGGAGAAGAGTACAAGAAGTCACCAAAGAGCAAGCCCTCCCTGTGAATCAGCACCATGCACAGACCACCACCACTGGGGGGAGAGTCAGACCTTAGCCCCTTCTGGTGTATGGGCTGGGAAACGAGAAGAACCAATCCTCCTCACCCCATATATAAGCGGCTGGCTGATCTGGAGAAACACAGGCTGTGATGATAGCTACTGAGTGAAATGCAGTTTGATGCTTGTGGTGTTTGGTGTTTCACTGTCTGCAGTTCTAGGGATGGTAATCTGATCATCTATTCAGAGGAAAACAGTATGCAGTGTGGCGTCTGTGGGGGATCTCCTGAAGATGGTACCCACTGTTAATTCCCTATTACCTTGTTTTTAACCCCTATATCATTTTCATTGTTTTATTGAGTTGGGTTTTATTGTTTTGATTTTGTTATATCTGATGGCATGGGCAGCTACTTCAAAGACAGCAAGACGTATTACGGTAGTCATTTTGGATTTACTATTGTCTTGAAGTCCTTTATTGTGTTCATTGTGTTGTTTTTATTGATTCTATTCTGTTCTGTTTTATTTGATTTTGTCTGAAGGTATCTGCAGCTATTTTGAAGACAAGAGGCATTACAGTAACTGTTGTTGCTTTTCTATTGTTTTGAAGCCTGGTGTCACACTGGTTTGCTTTATTCTGTTTTATTTTGCTTGGTTTTAGTCTCTTAAAAAAAAATTTAAAAAGCTCTATTTCTAAACTAGGCACCACAATGCACAACTATAAAACCAACACTCTGGAAGGCCAAAGAGGAGGATCATAAATTCAAGCCCAGCCTGAGCAACTTAGTGAGACTGCAATTCAAAGAAAGAGAGAGAGAGAGAGAACAGAAGGATAAAAACGGAAACAAAACTTGTTTAGGGAGGGGAAGTAGGATTGAAGGGAGGGGCAGAAAAACGGAAAAAAAGACTTTTAAAAAATCCAACAGTAAATAAACAATAAAAAAGGTGCAAGAAAAAAAAAAGGGTTAGGGATGTAGTTCAATGTCTAGGCCCTGAGTTCAATCCTCAGGAACAGCAAAAAATACTAACTTTGTGAAACTTATTTCATTAAGAGGAATCAGTTTGTCTCAAGGTTGGACCTCAGGAAAACAATGATCAATCACATTCCATGGTTAGAAGTAGTAAAAAAAGATCTTTGGTACTGGGAATTGAACTCAGGATCTTGTGTTTGTGAGGCAGAAACTGCACTACTGAGCTACATCCCCAGCCCAGAATAATTACATTTCTTTTGGTGCAGAAATGATTCCTCATGTCGGAAGGGTTTGTTTTATCGTGTTGTATTATGTTGGGACTCAAACTCAGAGCTCTGACTATGTTAAGGACATGTTCTACCACTGACCTGCACTTCTAATCCTGGTTTAAGGATCTGGGCACTATTATATTTCATGAGTAGCCTTCCAAACTACTTTCCATCTTTATATTTGTATCTGTGAATAACAGTGATTTATGTATCTTAAGGACTATACATAAATGACATCATACTGTATTTATCATCCCACAATTTGATTTCTGAACTTAATTTTTTTTTAGATCTTTCCATGGTGGTCTTTACTTGGTATTATTATTTTATTCTCTAAAGTGTTTATATCAAAATACACTTTCATCAGCGGTACCTAAGTGTTCCTGTTTTCTCCACAACCTTGTCCCATACTTTACACTATCCATCTTTTAGATT